CTGAGGCGCGGGTCGGGAGGACCCTCTTTATATTGGGCAGACTGAATCTGAAATGCTGGAGCACATCGCGGGAAGTAACTATGCCGATTTATGTAGAATTAACATCAAAGCAAGGCTGTGGCGAGTGCGGAATTCGAATGGCAAAGAGAAGTGGCAAGACCTGTGGTGCCTCGGGAGGAGCCTCCTCATCCCTCTCCTCCGTTGGTTTGGTTTTTCTCCCCGTTCCCCTCTCCCCAACGGCCTTGGAGCCTTCAGAAGCAGCCCCAGAAATCCACGCTCTTTGTGAGGCGCAGGCTATTCGACCTCCTCCTCTCCTCCTTCAACCCCCCTCCTCCCTCCTCCTCGACTGGCACTTCCTCGTCCTCCTGCAGCTCCTTTTTCCCCTCGACCTCCTCCTGGCCCTCCGGGTCCTACTTGGTTCCTCCTTCTCCTCATCCTCATCGCCCTTAACCTCATCTCCCCCTCGTCAGAGTCCTACTTGTCGATGCGTTCGCCTCTGCCCCTCGACTTCCTTTTCCTACAGAATATGAAAACGTATCTTCTCTACCCTGATGCTGTTCTCCCTGCTCCCTGTCCATGGCACATATTGCCACAGGACAGCCCAACATACATGTTCTATCTGTTTCGGCCGCACCAATTGTGTAGCGTTGCCAACTAGCGGCAATCACAAACCCGTGTTGGCGGGCATGTTGTGTGACCCCTCTCGGGAGCCCTTTGGAGCCCAACGGGGCTGATGTAACCCCCGCTGAAATACAGAGCACTCGTGGCAGGAACACAGTAGACGGCGGCATCTGTTTTTCTCCTGGCACTCCGTGCTCTGCCTGTCAAAGGTTGTGCTCATTTGTCGGCGCTGGCAGAATCTACGAAATTCCATTGACCATCGGTCTAACGGAACGACATTTTCGCCGCGGCCCTGGCCGTTCTATTAGGAGCAAGAGTGGTGCTCCTGATAGAGCGTTTGCCATGTTTCAGAACTTCCACAAAGAGATCTGGCCCAATGGGGAAAGCATATCGCTGCCACGCTGGCCATGCTGCTGAATCAACAAAAGCGGGCTTCCCGCTATAGCGCTGGCCACGTTTGAAAGCAGAGTGACCGTTTGAGGAACCATGCCTTTTTCGACGGTCGACTCTGCGAATAGTACGCAAAAGCCTAAACCCGTGGCAAGGCATGGGAGGCACGGATAGGATGCCAGCTTTGGCGGCGCGCACAAAGGGGCAGGGGGACAGGGAAAGGCTCCTTGGAACGAGGCTGCTTCTTAGAAGGCGCCGGACTTACATCTATCGGTAAGGCCCGCGACTTCTGAGAAGCAGGGGTGCTTCTAAGAAGCCTGCCCCCCTCCCCCTACCCCCCTCTGCGCGTGGCCGAAGCTTTGGCGCGAGCGTGCTCATCTTGTCCTCGACCTCCTCGCCCTCCTCCTCGACAGCCTCGACGTCCTCTCCGTCCCGACCTCCTCGGGCCCCGACCACAGATAGCACAGACCTTCCAAGTGGAGGCCCGCCTCCAACTTCGATGTTCTGACACGGGGGATATGACGACCCCAGTCCCCGTTTTTGGGGGGCTTTCGACTGGACCAAAGATTTGGGTCCCAACCCTGGGATATACCATGGGGGGCTCCATCCTTGATAGCGGTGCGTCCACATAGCCCCCTTGGGGTGTATCCTAGCGTTCTCCTCAGTGTCTGAACGCCCATTTTTTTCTGGCGAAGCTCGGGGATTGGGGGAGAAAAATCGCCTGCGCTTTTTTCCTAATAGGGTTTCGCTCGAGGCTTCTAAAACTGAGTCGCCCCACAAAGGCGGACGGGAACCCTCTGCCGCCTCGTTGTGCAACCGTTCCGCCTGAGCCTTCCGCACAATATACATATGTATATACATATAGATATACAAGCCTGCAGTGGCGCTTCGCGCCATGCACCTTGGTCCTTGAAGTTTGGTATGCAGGCGGACTAGCAGGAAGGTCAAGCCGACAATTTAACGATAACTCCTTGATGTCTCTTCCGGCAGCGCCGATATGATAATGTTATTTGTTATCCTTCCTCCATGCTTCTTTTTCCTCATCTTCGCCATGTCCTGCGCATTCTCCCCACCCTCCTCAGCTCTTTTTGCGGAGGGTCCTCCTTGGAGAGCCTCTGGGGGCCTCACAAAAATTGTTTTAGGGTTTCTTAAGGCCTTCTGGAGGCCTCCTGGGCGTGTTCTGGGGGCCTGTGAAGGCTTCCTCGGCCCACCCTGCATCCAACCGCGGTCTCCCTGAACGACCAGGGCACGATTTGGAATGCTGCGGAGGGTGTCTTGGGGCCATTGGGCCGCCATAGGGCTCTCTGAGGGCCATCTTGGACCCATGTTGTGCCTTGTGCCGTTTTGGGGCTCTCTTGGAGTGCCTGGAAGCCCTTTCGGATGGTTGTGGGGCGATTTGGGAGCCTCCCAAGCGGCTTCGGACGCCCAGAAGACCGCCGTCTTGGAGCGTCGGGAAGGCGAAAAGAGGAGAACCCCCAAATGCACCAGAAACCAACAGAAAATCAATGATTTGTGCCTCTTGGGACATTCTTGGGAGTGCTCTTGGAGGCCTCTTGGGACGTTTCGGGACGATCTTTGGGAGCATCGGCTTCTTGGGGGTCGTCGTGCACCGGATTGGGGTCCTCTGGGGTCGTTTCGGGAGCGCGCCACGCCCTGCGAGGCCCGGGGGGCCGCTTCGAGGCCCGTCCGGAGGGTCCCAAAGCCCCAAATCCCAGGAGTCCGGTTTTGGGGGGGGGGAGGGGGGTTCCCTCCGCCTGGGCTTATAAAATCCGCCGATCCGGCGTGCGAGTTTCTGAGAGCGTGGACTCGAGCTCGCTCAAGCTTCGCTCTGCAGAGGGGGGGGGGGGCGTACGTTATTTCCGACGTCATTTCCGATGTTTTTCGGTACCCGGGGATATTTCCGACGTCATTTCCGACGTTTGTCGGTACCCGGGGACAGGGGGGTATAGAAAACTCCACTTCCGGAGCCCCGACCGCCCAAGACAGCCCAAAAGGAAGCCAAGAGAGGCCCCGGAGGCCCCCTAGACAATGCAAGAGGGCCCCGAATCGCCGACACATCGCTCGAACCGCCCAGGATGCCCCGAAGACAGTTCCACCTCCAAGACTTCCCCAGGATCCCTCATGACACTTCCCCAGAATGCCCAACGACTGACAAATAGAGCCATTCCCTTAGGAAAACCTATATTTTCGGCATAGTCGTTTCTTGCTCTCACCCCCCCCGGATCGGCGGCACTGGCCGGAGGCCAGCCCAATATAGGAAGAGGAATGTATATATGTATATATACATTAAACCAAGAGTCATGATCTCGCCTGCCTGCTACAATTTTGAACGGGATGGCTACGAACCATGGCGAGGATGCACTAAAGGTTCACGTGGCCGTGCTCTCCCCACTGTCTTGGCTGCATCTGTCCTCGGGGCCCCGTTTAAACTGGCCGACCTCCAGCTCCTCGAATCGCCTCTATACCTTTGCTGTTACTAGGGTCTACTAGGGCGCTTTGCTGAGGTGATTTTCGTCCACTCTGGAAGGTTCTCCCATCCAACATGAAGGTCGCCATCCGAAATTGAAGTCTTCGGTGTCCAGGGACCACTAGCAGGATCTCCAGGCGAAGAACCCTGTCATTGCTCGCGTGCCCTCGCGTCTGGGGAGGAGGCGGGCGGGCCGCACGGGTGTTCCTCCTCCTCCTCCTCCTCCTCCTCCTCCTCCTCCTACTCCTCCTCCTCCTCCTCCTCCTCCTCCTCCTCCTCCTCCTCCTCCTCCCTCCTCCTCCTCCTCCTCCTCCTCCTCCCACCCAGGGCCTGGCAACGAGGGCAGACGACACCACCACCACCACCACCAGCGCGAGACGCCTGGGAGGGTGCTCCTGATAGTGTGGCCCCCCCTCTCTCGAGAGAGACCTCCCATGTCCCCAGCTCGGGAAGGCATCGTGGACCCCCCTTGCAGGAGGAGGAGGAGGAGGAGGAGGAGGAGGAGGAGGAGGAGACCAGCGTACCCAGAGGTCAGCTCCCCGCGCCTAGCACGGCGCCTGAGGCAGCATGGGCACGCCTCCTGTCGAAGCTGTTGTAGCTGAGGCCGCCGACGCTGCAGCCCATGATGTGCAGCGGATAGCCGTCGAATTTATATCATTCTTATTCAGAGGATGCTGAGTGCAGGGGGGAGCGAGAACGCAAGATGGGACCGAGACGAGACGCAGAGAGCAGTGAGGACAGTGCCGAGAGCGTGCAGGTGAATCACGAACACGCCTTGAAAAGGAAAGGGACGAGAGAGAGACCCTCATCCAACAAGGGGCACTCTCCGCGCCGTGCGCGGGGCCGGGGAGCAACGGTGCGAGGGTCACTAACGGCGCACCGCCGGGCAGTCCCCACTCGCCCCGCGCCCCCCGTTGGGAAGACAACCTACGCCTGCACTTCCGCCCACTATGCAGGTGCCACGGGCTCGGGCGCCTGAGGAAAATGGGCAACAGGAGCCTTTTCCGACGGCACTCGCACACATAGGGCAATCTGAGGGTGCCCCCAACTCCTGTACCAGGACTCGTACCAATAGAAGAAGAAAGAGTAGCACTGCATGACCATGACGACGAAATTCTCGTCGGAGGCGAAATCGAGGAGGAGGGTCCCGCCATCAGCGACGGACAGGGCGCAAACGAAGGGGCAGCAGCCGTCGAACACGGCCAGGTCGGGGAAAACGAGCACGGAGTAGTAGCGAAGAGAGAGGCGATCCGTGTCCACAACGGAGAAGCTCGTGACGACGGCGTAACTCTCCGAGACGGCGCAACTCTCGAGGATGGCGTGCAGCTCTCGAAGACGGCGCAACTCTCGTTGACGGAGACACTCTCGAAGACGGCGCAACTCTCGAAGACGGCGCAACTCACCATGACGGGGCAACACTCGACGACGGCGCAATTCACGAAGAAGGCGCAATTCTCGATGTCTGAGCCCTTATTTCCATCAGAGGCGGTCGACCTCCGCACAAGAGACGAGATCTCGCAAC